TAAGGCATTTAAACTAATAATTCTTAAAAATAGGAAAAGATGAAAGTTCAAAGTTTATGTTATCCGTTATACTTAGTGTTCCAGCTGCACACAGAGCTGGTCAAAGCCTGTGGAACACAGATTGAATCTAGGATGAAAAGCAGAGAAAAGACAGAGTTTTGACATCCAGTTCGAACTAATTTTAACATCCTGTCATGCATGAAATTCACGCACTGTGTTACAAACAGGTTAAAACTTCAAATCAGGAGTTTTCAGAGTACTCAATAAAATCTTATATATCAATAACATTATTTGACCAAAGAAGTATTTTCCAAAGATGGATTTGTTACTCTCTTCAGGAAAATATTATTAGTGCAAAACTTTCTGTTAACTCTTCCTGGCCAAGAGCTCTTTCTTCCCATCAAGAGGAAACCTTTCCAACAACTGCAGTTGCCAAATATTAACTTGCTAAAGATAAGTCATTCTATTTATCACATTCTATTTATCAAATACATGAGTATGTATGAGGGGAATAAATTAATTGTTCACACTACTGCAGCATTTTGGAAGAAATGTTTCTATCTACAGCACAAAACCATAGTGCCCACTTTTACTATAAAGTTCTATTTTATACCGAGGCATAAATATATTATGCTACAAAGAAATTATGATACATTTTATTTAAACATAAAGTATAAAGGGATGATTTTGCCAGCATGTATGTTTATATGGTCTGGGGACCATGAGCTCCCTATTGTTCAGGTCAGCTGTTTCTGTGGGTTTCACCAGCCTAAAGACCCAGTTTCTTGAATGCAAACTTTAGGCCTTCTGGTGAGATCCATGGTCTTAGTAATTTTTCTTCATTTAGTCCCATCTTTAGGATGGCGTTTCGGGTAAATAGGAACATTCGAGAGCATCTTACACCAAGCATGTGGCTTCAAAGCAGACACCTTTCTTCTGCCTCTACATTTATCACCAAATAACTTACTTTCTGCAAGACTCACTTCAGCTTTTGGGTTTATCTCCTAAATATACAATCTCATGGAAGAAAATACACTTAGAGCATGTTTATACAAGAGGTTAAGATGGCATACAATCTATATTTCTTCATGTTCAAGGGGGAAATGTCTAAAGCAGTTGTTATTGATTACTTCAGTTTGAAGCTCTCAGCCCATGTGGTTTTATTTTGCAACTAGAAACTGGCTTCCTCACGCATTCTGATAACCTGCCCTTTTCCGAGACCCATAAAAAAACATTTCTATGAAGTTTCCATTTTAAAAAATCAACAATCAGAACACAACGCTTGAAGCCCTAATGTTCTTAAAGTTTGTATGACTTAGACTGAGAACTCTGGCTACTCTAATGTGTGTCTGAAACTTTAACAAAGCAGAAGCTTGGGAATTTTTTGTTCGTTTGTTTTCTTCTTTTACCTTAAAGAAATGTACCCGTAAGAAACTTGTTTCATTTTTTGGATATAAATCTTGACACATTCCCATGTGTACATTGTCAAATTTTTTTTATAAACTTAGGAGAAAGTTATTGAGTAGAAGATTTAACAAACTGTATTAAAAAGAAAATACAACTGAACATTCTATCCTGCCTTTGGGAGATTCATGCCTTAATCTTTTGGGATGTAAAGCTCATGGGATTCACATCTGCACATCTGTGGAGTTCTCATTCATAACCCTTGCACTGCTTTTAATGGCATGATGAATATAAATTTTATTTTGCAAGTTTAGTTTTAATTATGTGTGCATATATGTGGGGGTGTGGCAAATATGTACACAAGAGCATTTGGATCCCCTGCAGCTGAAGTTACAAGCCTTTGGGAACCACCAGATCGTGGTGCTGGGAATTGAACTCTAGTCTTGTATAAGATCAGCATTCTTAACCTCTGAGTTATTTTTCCAGCCCCAAATACTAATTATCTTGGCACATACTAAAATTCTATTTGGACAGGATGTATATGTCACAGTTTACTGTAAATCATGATGGACCACCACTCATTTAAATGAATTAAAGTAATTCTGATTCTTTTAGTCTAAACAAAAGCACCCAAAAGGATGCTCATAATAGGAGGAGAGTAGGGTTTTACAAAATGAAAATAGTAGTGGTTGAGAAAAATAATGTACGCTAATTTTACTTTGGTATCTTTTTCTCTTCTGATAAATAAATATGCTATTAATAAGTACATTAGGCTTCACTTAAAAATAACAATTATCCCTATGATGCTTTCTTCCAAATCAAAAGTAACAGACCCAGCCACTTCACTAGAATTTGATGTCCCCTGTCACCCTAATATCTGCAGCTTTCAGTACTTTCAAACTCATAAAACCAGCACACCCCAAACTTGAACTCTGATCTTGAGTACCCTTTTACTCAGTTATTCATTCCACTCAGGCCAAGTGTTTTCCATGTGCCAAGCATTGCCCTGTATTCTCTATGTTAATAAGCAACAAATTTTGTTTTCTTGGAATGATGGAAAGAATAAAGTGATGCACGCCTTTAATTCCAGCACTCAGGAGGCAGAGGCAGGTGGATCTCTGTGAGTTCGAGACCAGCCTGTTCTACAAGATCTAGTTTCAGGACAGCCCCCAAAGCCACAGAGAAACCCTGTCTCAAAACAATAACAAAACCAAAATTAAATTAAAAAATACAAACATGAAAGATCATGTGATGTTGGTCAAGGACAGGTAATAATAGAGGCTATGGAACAATACAGCCTGATGCCATGGATAAGTAGAAATGACTTGTATAAGTAACTCTGAGGGTACTCAGAGCTTCTCTAGATAAGATGTAAGGAGATGTTTCTGAAAGAGTGCACAACATTGAAATGACTGTCAGGTGAACAGGTACATAATCCAAGAGCTAAAGGAAGCTGAGTAGCAGTGACAAGCAGCTTTTGAGGGTCAAAGCAGTGAAATATGGGAGCTGAGAATGAGGGTTTATGGTGAGCCTGGGAAATCACATATTAAAGAGGGGGCAATAAAAAAGTATTAGACTTTCGGTCTTTGTAAATGGGAAGACATGTTTTTCTGGGTATTGCAATAGGCAAACACAAGCTTATCAGGACACTGGATAAATGCTGGCCCAGACTCAAGAATACAGTGCTACTGAAAAGAGTTTATGTCACTACCAAATGTTTCAAGTATGTTGGAAGGAACTAAGTATGGACGTGGGACAGCAGCTATTAGATTCATGTTTTATGCTCCTAGTGAGAGATAAATGTGGGCTACATCAGAGTGAAGACAGTATCTGTGTCCCAGAGATACTTGGAAGTTACATTTATTTAGTGGAATTGTTGATTGAATTTTTAGTTCGCAGAATACTTGGCTTGACCAAACTGATGACAGTGTAACTTAACAAAACAGAGGAAAATGGGGGGAGAATGAGATTGACTTAGTTGCTTCTCTGACCATCAGAGTCACACAGACTGCCTTTCTAGAAGAAAGCTGAGTCACATTTTTAAGTAGGGATTATGAAAATAAGGAGAGATTTGCAATGAATCACTATGAAAAGCAAACCATGAGAGACCATGAGTGTGCAGTTGGAAAAGAGGGGTCTTCAGACAAATGTTAGCTAGCCATCCCACAAGTTTCTTAAATGCCCATGTTTCTGCTGTTCTAGTGCATCAAGGTGCCTATGATGCTCTTACCAGTTAGTGAGATGGTAACCTTTCTGCTTTCCACACTTCAGCTTCCTCTCTCCCACATCTATCCTGTCCTCATGCTTACACCAGATTGTTGTTGTAAACAACACATGTCTAATATTGTCTTTCTCAAGCTAAAAGGCTATTCACTTAGCCCCATTGCTTTGAGAATAAGATTATAGTAGTTATCAAGGCCTGATGACTGCCCTGTGATTTACCTTTTAATATCTCCTAATATACTGTCTTTCAACCCTTTTTATAAGTCCAATTTTCTTGGCAATCTTTAATTCCTAGGGATTGCCCACTCCCCTCTGCTCTAGTGCCTTCACATATACCTTTTAGCTAGGCTTAAAGATTAATTTTTGACTAGATAGACCAGGAATAATAGAGGGAATATTCTTAATTCCATGGTCATTGACATCATACTAAATAAGAAAATATTTATATGTTATTGTTGATCAGATAAAATATGTATTCAATTAAACAATCAATTTTATAAAATTTTACAGTATTTAATTTTTCTATTTTTATTGCACCATAGAATATGATCATTTTACTTTGTATTTTGAGTGAATATTTTTGCTACATTTCTAAAGCCAAAGGGTTTAAACATTTAAAAGTGCTTTGTTGCTAAATGAAAATGGTTTTTCGTGTGTGTGTGTGTGTGTGTGTGTGTGTGTGTGTGTGTATGTGTGTGTTCATCTGTGTGGGAGTGCAAGTGCATGTATATATGACAGCCAGAGGTAAACCTCAGGTATAATATCTTAGAAGTCAACTACTCTGTTACTAGAGACAGTGTCTCTCACTGAGACCTGGGGCTTACTTACTGGTTTAGCCTAGATGGCCATTGACCCTATCTCTGACTCCTTATCACAAGAATTATAAACCTGTATCACTGTGCAGTACTTTGGTACTGGAGACTAAACTCACAAACTTATGCTTCCAAATTAACTACTGAGTTATCTCTCTAATGCTTGATAATGTTTATTCTTAAAGTTCATGACAAACGCAGCTATGAATGAATGCTTACACAGTGTAGGTAGACATACATATTCTAACTGCTGTACATGCTGTAGATTATATATAATATAACTCTGTATATACACATGCAATTGTACTAGGGCATGCATGTTTATTGTTTTCTTGACTAAACCTTGATTTTATTATATAAGCAGAGTTTATAATGCATTGATTTCTTTTTTGTGAAATTGGAGCATCAATAACACAAGATAATGGAAACATTTACATCATTCCCCTAATAAAACCTAAGAACCTCTTACATGAAGTATGTCACCACAGTGGGATCAGAGGTATCCTATTTCCCTGATCACTCAGAGAGCTCTAAAGTAGAACTGAGATATGTAACACCTACCGTCTTGCTGAGGTAACCTGTGCTGGTGTTCATGCATTGCAGCCCCTCGCTGTTGCAACAGCCCCCACATCTGTAGACGGACACACATGGAGGTTTAAAGAAGGTGTTTGTGGCTGCTCCAAACTCCTTCCCCACATCTATACACACCTCACGTGGCATGCATTGAGTCTTTCTCCACTCATTATCAATACCTGTCAATCATAGGGAAGTCCATGAGTTACACAGAAGCCACCAAGGAAGAAACAAAGCCAACAGCATTGGGAAGTTACTCATATTTGATTTCAGATCTTAAGTTTTAGTGTAAAAGAATCAGAAACAACCAACTGGATCCTAAGTTTCCCTATGAATCGGAATGTAAGATAAGATTCAGCAGAATAGTCGAGGAAATTTCCTTTTAAAATGATTTCCATGGGGAAGTAAACAAAAAAATTAGAATTAAATTAAGGATTTAAAAAATTATACCACTACCCTAACACAAATGTTTGACTCTCCTTTCTTAAAAAAGGGAAATTGAGTACATAGATGCTTACCAGATGTGCAAAAACAAAGACATGCTCTTTGCCTGACATGTACAATTTCTGTGGTCATGAAGCAAATGTAAACAGCATGCTTTTGCTTTTCTTTTGAAACTGACATGCCAATGAGAAGAAAACTATGGTTTTGGTGTCAATTCAAAACTCATTTTTCAGGCAAACTATCCAACAGTTTTGAATAATGTCATGACAGTAGCTATGTGAAAAGCGAGGTTATTTTCCAATTATTACAACTTGTAGCTTAAACTGACTTGACTCTTTTCAGGACAATTAAATTTCTTATCCCCCTCATTCTTTCTCTTGAACTCCTGCTTCTAATATGTTGTTGGCTTACCTGTGACATGGTTGATTCTCTACTATATTAAAAATGACGCAGCTTGTAAGTGTTGTAGTTTATGTCTTCCGTATTTCCTCTAAAATAACACTTTTAAGGACAATAAATTTTGAGTTATTCCACCATGATTCCAGTTAATGTGTCTGGATTCACTTTAAATGTACATTGCAATACCAAACTGTATTTGCGTGTGTACATGTGGTGGGGTGCCTGCTGTGCAGAGGCTAGAGGGAGACAAAATGTCCTCTTTCATCCTCTACCTTATTGTCTTGATACAGGTTTTCTCAGTGAACTAGAAACTCTCTGTTTAGGCTAGGCTGGCTGGCCATCAGGATTTCCCTTGATCTATTCTCTGCAATGCTGTGGTTATAGTCACCCATAGCTATGTAGACCTTTACATGGGTGTTGGGGAATCAAATTCATGTCTTCATGCTTGCAGAGTCAGCTATGTTACTCACTGAGTCATCTATCTGACACCAATACAAACCTTAAAACACAGAAATACTTAAAACTACAGATGGCTTTTTTCTTAAATTGGCCTGCCAACTCATATTATGTGATTTTACACACATTATAATTTTTGTGAAATGTTATGGCAGATATTCTACTTCATAAAGGGCAATTCTGAATCAGCTATTTCTGAGGTAACAGGACAACAAGAAGCTTTGGGGAGGTGGTGTGGGTTAGTAACTTTTTTTTCATTATTTTCAAGCATGTGTGTGTGTCTGTGTGTGTGTGTGTGTGTGTGTGTGTGTGTGTGTCTGCCTGTATACGAAAATATTGCCCAGAGTGTTATGCCTCTTATGCATAATGTATAAATTTTCTAGTACAAAAGTGAAATTAAACATATCCCAAAAAGGGGAAATTCATGTGCTTCTGTTTTTCTTAAAATACTAATTTTCTTGAGATATAAGCATTTAAACAAACCTAAGTAACTAAAATAAATTAACACAGTGAAGAAAATTTATTTAAGTATTTTCAAATGTTTGCAGTGGACTATTATCCCAATTCCCAAAATAAATGTGATGCATGTGTTTTCTAGCTGTGAATTTCAAGAAATCATCTAACTACATAGAAAGAATTCCCAAAGTGTTTTACTCAAAGTAATTTTGTTCATTTCTATTTTCTTTATTGAGGTCTGGGCTTCAAACATATTGAGCTGGAAGCAAAGGTTCACACTATGATCATCACTGTTGAACTCCTGAGGCTCTTCTTGCACTTGTTGCTTGTACTTACTTTTCAGGATTTCTGTATTGTAATGTGCAGCAGCAAATTTTACATTGTCCCCTGTCCTTGTGTTGAGAGTGGGCTGCTGCCAGCCACCTTTCCTTAGCTGGCACTTGTACATTTTCCAGTAGTCTGGGTACAGGACGGACATGAGCTCATCTACACTGGACACTGACCGCAACTGTTCCTCCAGGTCTTTGCCTGCAAAAGCCTGTCAAACAAAAGTACAAGGTCAACACTCCACCAGACTGAGAGTTTAGGAAGACAAACCAAACCCTTCCACTTTAACGTGGCACACACTGAATCTGCTAATAAAATCCTTATTAACAAATCTTGGCTTGCTTCAATTTTATGGTGAAATTATTTTAATATTAATATTCAATGTCTCAACTGGCACAGTTAAACTGTATTTGTTTTTAAGACCAAAAATTGTGAGATAGAATTTTTAAACTTTAAAAATTTTTAAATTCTTTGTTGTAGTTCCAGCTCTTTTACAATAGACAAATTTGCTGGCTTAAAACTTATTCAAATATATATATATATATATATATTTTTTTTTTTTTTCTTGGCTACCATATACAAGCAAAGTGACAGAAATTACCTCTAGAGTTATATACTAGCATCTATACAACTAGTCTTTAAGCATAGTCTTTGAAATGCATAATATTACTTTTATGAATATATAAAATGTTTACATTGATATTTATATTTATACTTTAAAATACATAATATTATGTTTAGGAAAATATAAAATATATACTTTTAGTGAAAATATTATTAAATAACAGACTTTTTAATTTTTTATTTAAATTATAAAGAAGCTTGTTTCACATGTCAATCCTAGTTCCCTCTCCCTCCCCTCCTCTCCTTCCCTCCACCAACCCCCTATCCTTTCTGCTCCCCAGGAAGGGTAAGACCTTCCATGGGACATCTTCAAGTTCTGTCATATCATTTGCAGTAGGGCTTAGGCCCTCTCCCGTGTGACTAGGCTGAGAGATTATCCCTCTATGTGGAATGGATTCCCAAAGTCCATTTGTATGTTAGGGATAAATACTTAGCCACTACTAGAGGCCCCATAGATTACCCAGGCCTCCTAACTGATACCCATATACATGGGGTCTCGGTAGGTCATATGCTGGTTTCTCAGCTATCAGTCTGGGGCCTTTGAGTGCCCCCTTAGATAACAGACTTTTAAAATTAGATTGTAGTGAAGTGGATAGAGCACATGGTTAAAATGCTCAACGCTCTAGACTTGGTTCCTAGCATTAAGAGAAAAGGGGAAAAGCTGGTCTAGATATGGCAGCATGAAATAAATACTTAAAGTTGAACATTAGAGGAGACCTTAAAATCACTGAAAAATGACACAATATCATAACTACCCAATTCATGCGCATGATATATTTGCTTGGGGAAAATCTCACATATGACACAAAACTCAAGAGTCAAAAGTTTGCAGATCTAAAATGTTTACTAATGGAAAGAACAGTTATGAATGCAACGTGACTGAAGGAAACCCATTCTGTGAGATATGTGTGATAATAGCTTCTGTGTATTTCAAAATACTATCTACATGTCTATCAACACATAATACAATGTATATCTATGTATACATATATTGTTTGCCAGTCAATCCTTAAAAAAGCCAGAGAATAAAACAGTAATCAGATATATTTTTTGGAAACTGCCAAGTACAATAACATGCCATAATGCTTCTATTAGCATCTATTGTTAACTATGCTCCAGAAAAAAAGGAACAGTGAGGGACTTTGTGTGACAGGAAGGTTGCTAGAGCTCTTCCCCTACAACTCTGCTAAGACTAAAATCAACTTCTGACCTTTCCAAATCACATAGAAATGCAGAATAGGTCATGTATTCACTGAACCAAGAGCACCAACAGAACATTTCTACTATGCAATGGGAGACATGCACAGGACATTAGGTTGTCTTTAAACATATATATATATATATATATATATATGATGACAACAAGGACGGAAAAATAATTCTTCTGAGTACCAGTGGGAATATTTGTTTGTAGTTAATCAAGGAAAATACTGTGTTACAAGCTGATGGAACTTTAAACACATTCCATGAAGACAGCAAATTCACTTTGGAATTACACTTTGCATAAGCGGTGCTCTCTTGTCAAGCAATACATTCAAACTCATTGTAATTCTGTCCATATATGAGTGTGAAAAAGTGTCATATAGAAAATAAAGAAGTGGTCAACCAAGTTGCAAAATACAACAGATATCACAGGAAGTGATATAATCACATTACAAAATCATGACAGAGCTGTAAGATCCAAACATGGAAAGAGTACACAATTGGGCCATTAACATAAGGACAAGACATGTACTTTTTGAACAAAATTTACATATTGAGTAAATGTATACTGTCTTTGGTAAAATAAATAAAGTAAAAACTAGTCATGTTCTACAAATTACAGGATGACTTATGTTTTTAATACACTTGTATTTTAAGTTTTAAGTAATGCACATATATAATTCTTAATAATCAGAATAATAATAATCATTTCTAAGCACATTGCAGGCCGTCTGATTAGCTCTTATAATTTCATAGAAAATGCCTTTGATATAGTATTTAAATTATAAGAATCACTGAAAAGAGCTGTGATCATTACAAACAAATGGAATAAAAGTGTATTACAGGCTGAAATACCCATTTCCTTTTCTCTACAAGATAGTTATTTCTGTGTTACATTTGAATGAAAGATAACCTTTAGCATTGAAAGACACAGATAACATCCATCTTGGCTTGAAAGACCCTGCTATATTGGCTAGTATTAAATTTCAACTCTTTGAGCAACATCTTACTTTGTGAAATGACAATAATGTCTTTTCATGGAGTTTTTGTGATGATTCAAAGGAAACAACAATAGCACAATGTGACTGTTGCAGACAGCACAGGAACTGTTATTTGATCGTCTTTAGTTACAGTGAAGCTTTTATGATGTTGTGATCACAAGGTGTGGTGCAGATTTTCTTCTCATCTGACCCCTGTATTTTCACATCATTGACTAGCAAGCTAGGAATTGAGCACTGTGGGCTAAGGAGCAGTAGGTGCTCAGCTATTATTTCAATGAATAGTGACAGAGTGGATGGAAGACAAAAAATTTAAAATTACATTTGACCATAAAAGTCCAGATTGTTCTTAACTTACTCTTGAATCTTTATTTTCGATAATGTTTCCTATAATACTTAGGTTATTTGCTTGAAAATTCGTGGAGTTTTGGTTTACAGAAGTTCCGTGCAGTTTAAAAGAGGAGATCTTACAAATAGATCCATAACTTGACATAAAGCTTAATGCAATCTAAAACTGAATGTAAATTTGGATGGTAATTTGGGAAGATCATCTAGGAGATATTAGTAGTTGTCCTAGGATAACTGTTAGCATTCTATATTAGCAAAGAATGACCTAAAAGATACTGAGTGTAACATTTTGAGGTGAAACAAAAGTCAAACAAAAGTTAGCAACAAAAATGATGATCAGAGAACAAAAACAGAAAGAATCACCTAAGTGTCCCTGTTAGCAGAACAATGATGCAAAAATCTCTATTTTTTGAGGTCACATGATGAGAAGGAGCCTTTCACCTGCACTCCATGTTTCTTATAAAAATCCATAGAGAGAGACATTTCAGGTTTACAGAGAAATCAGGAACTAGGGAAATTTCTGGAGATCTACAAAGATGACACCAGCTAACAATATAAGCAACAGAGGAGAGGCTACCTTAAAAGGCCTCCCCTGACAATGAGATTGATAACTGACTTATATGCCACCCTATAACCCTCATCCAGCAGCTGGTGGAAGTAGAAGCAGACACCTACAACTAATCACTGAACTGAAATGGAATCCAGATGCAGAGACGGAAGAGTGAAGAGCAAAGGGGTCCAGACCAGGCTGGTGAACCCACAGAAACAGCTGACCTGAACATCGGGGAACTCTTGCTCCCCAGACTGATAGCTGGAATACCAGCATGGGACTGATCCAGACCACAGGAAAATGGGTTTCAGTGAGGAAACCTCAGAAGTCTTCGGGACCTCCTGTAGTAGTTCAGTACTTATCCCTTGCATAGATGTGGACTTTGGGAGCCCGATCCACATAGAGAAATACTCCCTGAGCCAAGACACATGAGGATGGGCCTAGGCCCTATCCCAAATGATACGATAGACTCTGGTGACCCCCCCATGGAAGGACTCACCATGGGGGGGTGAGCAGAAAGAATATGTGATAGGTAGGGTTTTAATTGGGGGGGGTGGTGATAGGGGAGGATGGGAGGGAGAAGGGAACTGGGATTGTCATGTAAAACAATCTTGTTTCTAATTCAAATAAAAGAATCTGCAAAAAATGATATTATTTAAATCTTTTTTAAAATGCCATAACAGAAGCTGATAAGGTTATAAACAAACAAGGCTCTCAGGTGTAACTGATAACTTTATGTCATACACTAGTGTTCCTTGAGGTGCCTTGGTTCGATTAAAGTTTGTTCAGATGACTGGTAGGGAGAGGACTCGATTGCCTGAAGGCATTTCTACTTGAAAAAGCCCAGAGGATCAATAATAAATGGGAACCATGAAAGACATACTGAACTTGTTACAACTAAAATTTTATTTTGAAATTCTATAAACAAATGCCAAGCAGTTTTCAAACTACTATCAAGTATTATAGTATACACATATGAACTGGATGTTTATTAATCAGTGGATGGAGTTGAAATTCATGTGATAACTCATACTGCAGCTATGAAAGCATTATTTTTCTTAAATTTATAGATTGCTACCAAATAATAATAATCAGAAGTGATAGAATGGGTAAGAGAACATAAAAAGGGATTTATCTCTATTGCTATATTTTTATGAGAGTCCAAAAAGTTCATGTATAAATCTGGTTTCTTAACCGAAATATCTGGATTTTAGAAGTGGATAAATAATAAGAGTGAAATATATAAGCTTACATATTAGATGTTTATATTTTTAAGCTGGCCATAAATTATCTGTATTGGTGTATTATAATAAGCAATACTTTGTATTACCATAATCAATTTATAAAATGGCAGATTCTATCTTATAATTCTATCCCAGAGTCTATAGTGAAAATAACAGTTCGATAAGAAAATAATTTGACTAAACAACATAATGGAAAACATTTTTCATATTATTTGTCATGCAGATCAATTCTCTGTCTTAAGAA